CCACTTCAGATCCGCTTGTTCTCTGAAAAGTATCATAATCACTCGAAAGTTGTATTTTTGTTAGATATGCATGTAGACATTCAGTTTGTTTTAAAATAACCTTAAGTTTTTTTAGTACCTTTTTTGATACAACATTCTTTTTCATCGGTTGTTTAACAGCAATTTGAGGTTCCAAATTTTTTGCAACCTGTTTGGATCCACCAGTCACCAGCTTCTTTGTCCTTTTTCTAACAGGCGACGTTGAGGAACCAACATTTTCTTTTCTTTTGACCTTTACTGCTTGTGGAGGAGGTGCTTGAAAATCATCTTCAGAATCTTTATCGTCGCAGCTTCCCTCTCGTTGAACATCATTTCTATCAATTATTTCATCATCTATATCATCATCTGATGAATCTGAATACTAAGGTGGAGCTTGATTTTCGATACCCTCCGGTGGCAGTTGCAATACTGCAAGTTCCCTTTGATTTGGTGTAATGTTCCTGAATTTAATCTGAATTCCAAACATATTGTTACTATTATAAATAAAACCAATAAGAAAACATACAACTTGGTTTGATTATTAAATATATGTCAAGTTAAGTACCTTGTTATTAACATCACTAAATATGGTGTTCATGAGTTTCTTGTATCTACGACTCTCATTGGTCGTCTGCCGGTTGAGTAACCTCGGAATATGGTCATCAACCTTTTGAGCGACCTGGAAATCAATACTCGAGCTGCACTCAAACAACCATACTTGGAATACAATAGGCATTCCCCCGATTCTGTAAAATTGTTTTTCATCATTTAACCTCTTGCTCAGGCTCTTCGTCAGCAAAGAGAAAGTTTTTTTTCCCCATGGAAACTCACTGTACCTTCCACTTTCAACAAGATCAAAATATAATCTCGAAATTTTTTTGGTAGCTCTTTCACCGGAAAAAATCACTGTCTGAATGAAGTATAAAATTGCAAACTTTAGGCCATCCTGATCATTCTCCCCCCATACTTTTCGATGAAAACTCCTAATTATATCAATTTTTCTGATCAACTTAACACCCTCAAAATATTTTTCCATGAAACTATTTGGTTCTAACTGATCAAAGATGAAATCAGTTTCTTCGTTGACACAATTTAATGCACTGATTAAAGCAAATTCTCTCAAAGTGAAACGCAACGTAGATCTATTTACACGCATTACAAATGCTTGGCGAGAACTATTGAGTTCTAAAGCCATGCAACACCTATGTATTTGTCCGCGAGCACGACATTGATGCATTTGCATATAATTACCAAAGCAGGTGCTTTCACAGAATACATTGTATACATGTCCATGTAAATACTTCATCAAGTCATCTTTTATGTCATGATTAAAGAAACAATGAATATGGGGAGCTTTTTTTGGTTTATTTTTGACATAAAATTCATTTGCCTGCACATGTTCAACAATAAAATGAATACATACTTAAAAAATTTCTGATATATAAATCTATTACTAGTTAAAAAAAAATAGAATATGATAAACTACATTGTATATAAAATAGTGAATGTTAATTCAGAATCATGAATATTGATGACATAAAAAATAAAATAAAATAAATAACAAAATACAACTAAGCTGATACTATAAGTCTATCAATATTTGAATACATAAATATGCTGAAGAAAACATAACTACATTATTCAACAGTCTATATATATGTATACAACAAATAATATAGTTTTGAATTAATTAATTAATCAATTTCTGCTGTAACAATAATATAGTATTAAGATGATTAATTACTGTACAGTTATCGCTATTTCTCTCTCATCTTCGTATAATAACACATTTGGTCCTTCAATTATTATATTACTAATGAATTTACTTATTAGTAGTATTCAATAACATATAATCTTTCATTAATTAAAAATTACTACATTTTTTGCCTTTATATATTTAATATATAAGAAATACTTTTGTAACTATTTTATTGTTGATTGTGGGTAATAATATTTAAGCTGCATATTATACCTGGATAATTAAGTGACTAAATGATTAATAATTATAATATATTTATTATATTTCAATTAATTGATAAATTAAATATACTATAAAATATTGAAATATCTAAAACAAAAATTCACCAATAAAGAGTAATTGAGTCTAGAAACAGTTAATAGGTCGAAAACTTGCAAATTTTATGTTAATTCTATTAGTAAAACACATTGCAATCTTGTTGACAAGAAATTACTAATATTGACTACTTTAAAATTGCCGTTTTGAAAATAAGCTAATTTTGAGATTAACTAATTTAAGTTGAGAGTTTCTTTTTTTACAAAGTCAAATTATGGGCAAAAATAATGGCTACTATAATACAAAAACAACTATAGGGGCAGGTTCATGGTAACATATGAATCATATGATTTGTACTTGCTTTTGATATTTATCACATCACATTTAGGGATACAAATTTTTTTATGTATTTAAAACTATAAGCTTCCAATCTGAAAGACATGAAATTTCAAACACAAAAACCAACTATAGACATAGCATAAA